TCAAGATGGCCGGCCGGAAATCTAAACTTTTATAACAGTAGGTTATGGCAGACCAGGCAAGCTACATCTTCAAGATGGCCGGCCGGAAATCTAAACTTTTATAACAGTAGGTTATGGCAGACCAGGCAAGCTACATCTTCAAGATGGCCGGCCGGAAATCTAAACTTCTATAACAGTAGATTATGGCAGACCAGGCAAACTACATCTTCGAGATAGTCAGTCGAAAATTAAAGTTGCTTAACAGTAGGTTACGTTAAACCAGGCAAACTACATGGCCGATTGGAAATCTAAACTCGTATAACTGTGGGTACAATACAACTTGCGTGATAAAAAGAGTGGAATAAGTTGTTTTCTTGTCGTTACTCACGAGAAACCACAATTACATAACATGATTACACGGAATCACTGAAAAGCATATAATTATTAATTTTAGTGTTTTGTTTGGTTGATGTTGGAACAGTCAGTTACTAAAAGTGTTTCTTATTTATTTATTTACACTAAGAAGTAATTTTCTTGGTCAACAAACCAAACTTACCTCAATTTCCTCCTATCTAGCGAGTTGATAAGTCGTACAGATGTGAATGTCCACAAGGTTTTCATGGCAACCATTGTGAAAGGTCAACTAACATGTGCTCAAATCACCAATGCGAAAACGGAGGAACTTGCAAGGATGGACTAGCTGGTTACTTGTGTGTTTGTCCAGACGGATTTTCAGGTGACCGCTGTGAAATCCAACCGAATAAGTGCGAACCAAATCCTTGTCGTAATGGTAAGCGTAGGACTAATGATACTGTAAGGTTAGTTCTAAGTCCCATAAACATCATTTCAATATTAAGAATAGCTTATTGGTGGAATAATTTTGTATTAAGCTAGCATTGCTTGTTAGTGCAGTGGAATTGAATGCAATACAAAATATTGGTTTGATCATTTATGATATTTTACATATACCTCAAAATATAAAAAATAACCTTTTTACTGACCCCTTGTATCAACCTTCTTACTGACCTCCTTGTTAGTCGTCGTGAATAGCTCAAATATGGTCTATGATGATTCAAGTAAGACATTATTTCAAACCGAAGCAACTGTTTTCTTAAACTCTCTTATTTTTCAACTCCCCAGGAGGAAGCTGTGTACAGCGAGTAAAGTCACATATGTGCATCTGCCCCACGGGGTTTACAGGTGACCAGTGTGACATTGATATCAACGACTGTGTTGAGAATCCCTGCCTCAATGGGGGGTCTTGTGTAGATGACATCAACTCCTTCCGCTGTTCCTGCGTGCCAGGGTTTATGGGATCACTGTGTCAAACTAACGTTGATGATTGCTTAATCAAGCCTTGTGCTAACGGCGGTATTTGCCACGACTTGATCAACGACTTCCGTTGCGACTGCCAACCAGGGTTTACATCAAAGGATTGTTCTGTTGAGATCAATGAATGTCGTTCCAACCCTTGCCGAAACGGTGGGACCTGCCTGGACCGTGTGAATGAGATCGTGTGTCTATGTCCATATGGATTTAATGGTGTGCTTTGTGAAGAAGATGAGGATACAGGTGGTAATGTGCAACTCCACACCTTGAAATTGAATTATAACGAATCCGTCGAAGTGCCGCAAGCAGCGCCTCCTACAACTGCTATAGAAGTTTCTCATCATATGTCGGATGATGAAAAACATTCTCGCCTCTCCGTCAACCACGTGACTTTAACTGCTACATTTTCAACAGTAGTGCCTCTGGTGTCATTGGTAGCAGTATTATTGATACTGTTCTTCCGTAATCGAAAGCGTCAGCGAAAACATCATGAAGAAGAAGTGATACAAAAACAAAATGAGCAAAATACAGTGAACAGCATGAACAATAAATTTTTAGAGAGTAAAATAATTAATACACTGGATAGGCCTAGCCAAAAGTCATTAAACATTAGCAGCGAAGGCCAAGATCTTTCTGCTGCTGTAAAAGGACATGAAAGTATGTCCAGGACAAAGTCCAACAAGTTTTTAAACACGGACTGCAATAGCAGCCAGACGGCGGATATCGACTCCGACAAACAGCTTTCTAGTTCACAAAGGACTTTAGAAAGGAGAGGATCTGTACATTCTGCATCAGCAACACTCCCTGTTGTCAATAAAAGGTAATAAATATCTCTATATAATTATTATCACGTTTTCCAGAAAAAAAATTAAGTTTATTGTCGTCTCTTAAGCCATTACAAAAAAGTTGTCAAAAAAAAAAAACGAACTACTACTTTAACCTAAACAATAGCTGTCAGGTACACGTATACTAACATTTTTAGTTATAATAGTTTTTATAGATAAATTATGATGGAAAT